ATAATAATAAAATAAAACTTAGTAGAGAGGACAGGGGGACACAGAGGACGACCCCTGAAGAGGGAACAGCTGAAAGAAGAAAAGGATTGTGGGATCTGGAGTTTCTGTGACCTCACACAGGTGAGTCACTGCTGGGTTTCAAAAAAATGACATCATCGTATTTAGAAGAGGAGGATTGTGGGTAAAACGAAAACTAAAGTGAAAATCTGCTCGTCTCGTCGCCTCCTGATTGAAAGTTTGAAACAAACACGTCGCCTTGAGGACGAAGAACAAAACAAACTTCAAAGCAAAAAAAAAAAAAAGTTCATCCATTCATTGAATCCTGGAAGCTTCATCATGATCCAGTGGCTTAGGAGATATTTTACTAACAGACAAGCAGGTTTGTGTCCATTTAAGTCCATTAAACTGACCAATAAGCGGCCATCTTGGATTCTTTTGAGTTTTATTAAAATCCATCCAGAGGTTAACGTGTATCAGACAGATATACACTGAGTACTTATACACTGAGTACTTATACACTGAATACTTATACACTGAATACTTATCCACTAAGTACTTATCCACTAAGTACTTATACACTGAGTACTTATCCACTGAGTACTTATACACTGANCCACTAAGTACTTATACACTGAGTACTTATCCACTGAGTACTTATACACTGAGTACTTATCCACTAAGTACTTATACACTGAGTACTTATCCACTAAGTACTTATCCACTGCGTACTTATCCATGGGTGTAACCGCCATAGGTACGGGGTGGTACATGTTCCCCCCACTTCCAACATCTGTGCCGTCTGTCCCCCTCACTTTTTTCAACTGAAGCAGAAATAAGACCTTTAAATAAATGCCCCCTCCCCCACTTTTAAGAAGGTGATTACACACTTGTACTTATGTACTTGTACACAGAGTACATGCTCACCTGCCTTTAAAGGCTGAAGAGGTCAGAACTGTTCAAAAACCGAAAAGATTAAAAATTATATAAAAAAACTTAAAATGTGTTTCTTAAAACTGAATTCTAACATTTTAACAGTAAATTTATGTTTAATTAATTAAAAAAAGATAAAAATCTGATTTAATTTCTGTTTGTTAAAAGTCTAAAAGTCGTGATGAAATCGTTTAAAACCATCATCAGGTCGACGAACTGTAAAAAAATAAAATAAAAATGATTTAAATTCATGTTTTAGAAAGAAAGTCGAACCTTAATGGATGAACTGAGGAGTTTACCCACAATGCACCGCTCCACACAACATGTCTGTCTGCACGGGGGCGGCGGCTCATGGTTCGGGTCAAACATGAGACCAACATGAAACTGCTCTGCAACTGACGGGTCGGTTTGTTTTAGAGTCCAGAACCGACTGGAAATCTGAGACAGGACCTTCAGACTCATCCAGGTCTAGATCCAGATCCAGATCCAGGTCTAGATCCAGATCCAGGTCCAAGCTGGAAAGAGGAGTGGACCAGATTCCCTCCAATGAGAGACGAGGGATTCAAAGAGTTTCTGCTGCTGAACTCATCATTTTTAAATCTAGATTCTGTTTGGATCATTTTTAAAATAAATAAATAAATAAATAAATAATCTTTAAAGCGATCCACGATTAGTTGTAACATTAAACTTTATTTGATAAACATTTATTTTAACTGTAAAATAGAGACTGTAAAAATACTGTAGGATGTTTAGTTTTGTACATTTTTTAAAATATATTTTAACACGGACGGAGCCATTTTATTTACACACAAAGCATTCTGGGTAAATGATGACATCAACTAGGTCCTCGGTGCGAGGCTGCTAGCGAGCTATATCCACCCTGAAGGTTAATCTTGGACAATATCTGATGATCGACTCTTTTAAATGAAACCAGAGAGCGTTGACAGAGAGGAGAAGGTAGAAATGACTCAGCCTGTAACTGAAAATATGGATGGAGGACAACAGAGCTGCTTCATGGAAGAAGAACCTCAGCTTAGCCTGTTAGCCTTTGCGCTAGCGCCCACGTTATATTACCTTGTATGTATTAGCTCGGCGCTAGCACAACAAACAGGCTAAACTGAGGTCCTCCATCTATATTTTCAGTTACAGCTGAGTCATTTTTGTGTTCCCCTCTCTGTCATGTGGATGGAGGACCTCAGTGATGAGAGGAGAATGTGTAGCGCTGAGCTAATATATATATATGCTGATAGCATCGGGGCTAATGCTAAAGCTAACAGGCTAAGCTGAGGTTCTTCTTCCATGAAGCAGCTCTGTTGTCCTCCATCCATATTTTCAGTTCCAGGCTGAGTCATTTCTACCTTCTCCTCTCTGTCAACGCTCTCTGGTTTCATTTAAAAGAGTCGATCATCAGATATTGTCCAAGATTAACCTTCAGGGTGGATATAGCTCGCTAGCAGCCTCGCACAGAGGACCTATCCACGTCATCATTTACCCAGAATGCTTTGTGTGTAAATAAAATGGCTCCGTCCGTGTTATATATTTTTAAACTTTTAGTTTTAAAAATTATAAAAACTGAACATCCTACAGTATTTTTACAGTCTTTATTTTACAGTTAAAGTATATGTTTATCATTTAAAGTCTAATGTTACAACTAATCAGGGCTCCCTTTAAATGTTTTAACTTTAAAAAATGTATATTTTCACTAAAAGCTCCCAGAGGTCTGGATGGATCAGGATCAGGATCAGACTCAGACCTGCCTCCTGGACCTGTGCCAGCCTGCAGCACGCTCCTCAGCCTCCTCCCTCCCTCCTCCTGAGCCGGAGCTGGAGCCGGACCGGACCGGGGGTGCTCCAGAAGCCGAGAGGTGGAGCGCAGGAGGAGGGATGACGGGGTGGGGTCGGAGAGGGGGGCCCCGGGAGCCCTTGGCCGCCTCCGCGCTATATAAACATTGGAGCCTCTGGCCGGACGCACACACCGTTTGCGCACGAAACCCCCGCACACACGCGCCGAGCAGAGAGGAGCTGAGAGGAGCAGAGAGGAGCATCGCTGCATCACGGAGCCAAGACTTTCCTCCAGACTTGATTTTTTTGGAGTTCAGACGCGGTTCCTGGAAGATTGGTTTTAAAAACTGAACTTCTCGGCTTCAGTTTTTCCACGTGTGCAGACTCCCATCAGCTCCAGTTTTTCTTCTTCTTCTTTATTCCATTAAAAAAAGAAGAAAAGACTGAAAATGAAATGTGCAGCATCAGGACCGTCCTCAGCCAGCTGTGACTGCAGCCTCTGCTCTTTAAATCTTTAAAACCAGCGAGTTTTAAAGAATCGGGGAGATTCCAGGTCTCACCTGTAGCCCGGGGAAAAGGAGAAGTTTTTGATTTATTTTAAAAACCAGACTCTGAGATTATTAATATTCCATCAAAGTGTCAGAGAGTGCAGCTCAGCCGCGGTTCATTCATTCTAAGAGGAGAAACAAACTCATTTCCAGCTCATCCAGTGCGCTTTGGCGCGCGTAAAGACGCGTTTTTACGCACGAGCAGAAAACGACTTCAAACCCACCCCAGAGACCCAAATTTAGCCCCAAAAGTCTCCCCTGAAGAGTTCCTCAGAGACCCCCCCCTCCCCTCCATCACCATGCTGTTCGACAGCTTCGACCTGGTCTCGGCTCTGGCCACCCTGGCCGCCTGCCTGGTGTCCATGGCGCTGCTGCTCGCCGTGTCCCAGCAGCTGTGGCAGCTCCGCTGGACCGCCACGCGCGACAAGAACTGCAAGCTGCCCATGCCCAAAGGATCCATGGGCTTCCCTTTCATCGGAGAGACCTGCCACTGGCTCCTGCAGGTAAGCGCGCGCGCTCCGGTGTCTCATTTTGTAAAAGTTTTAGCTCCGATTTAGTTTCAAACTTTCGTCTCTTTTATTGATCGACTTCTTGAGTCAGAATCCCGCGAGACAATCAGTTTATCTTAAAGTGATTTGATTGAATCCAAACTGATTCTTTTACAGCTTTGATCACATCAGTAAAAGTCTTATCTGAGTCTGACTGACCTCACCTGGTTTCACGTCACTCAGGTGAGATCAGATCAGTTTCTGACCTTTAAACATGAAGAATCAGGAGAAAATTTACAGCTTTCATTTGGAGAAAAGCATCACTTTTTTGCCTCAAAATGTTCCTGATGAAACAGATTTGAAAAAAATTGTCTCTTTTTTGCTCAATTTAAATATAAAATCTCAGATTTATGACTTGAGGAGCAGACAGAAGGCGCGCGCGCGCGTGGTTATTTAAAGGTAGCAGAGAAGGTGGAGGTGGAGCAGACATGAGGAGACACGTTAGTTGCTCCTCTCGGCTCCATCCGAGGAGACGCGCGGGGCCGGAATGCAGGCAGAGGCGCGCGCGGCCAAGTTTACGGTGCACGCGTGCGGGCGTGTGCGCGCGCCTGTGTGTGTGTGTGCGTGTGAACCTCTGCAGGAAGAATAAAATCTGCGCCTGAAGCTGAAAGTTCAGCTGCTGTTTGTAGATTTTTATCAATAAAGGTTTGAAAAGTGATGAATTCAGTGACCTGCAGGATGAGGGTCATCACAGCTGAAGAAAGCTTAAATACGAGCCGAAAACAGCTGAAAGTCTTTTAATGTTTAACACAGCAGCTCAACAGTAGCCAAGAGCTTAAAGTAGCAAAAGGCTAACATGAAAGTAGCAAAAGTTTAGCTACATGTAGCAAAAAAGGCTAAATGAAATGACCAAATCAAAGAAAACAATGTTTTAAAAAAGAAAAATAAATGTTTGTGGAGAAATTTTGTGAACAAAAGTAAATATTTTGAAGTTTAAAAAAAATCACAGCACCATATGAGCTAAACTTTTTATTTATTAATGAAAGGGTAAAAAGTACAAAGTCAGCAGAAAAACTTCAGAAAACAAAGAGTGAAAGTGAAACATCAGAATGTGATGAAAACAAAGACAACAGTTTAGTTTCTCCCAGTTTGTTGATGTTTTCGGCCACTTGGGGGCAACAGAAGCACTGAGTTCAGCCGTGTTTCAGTGTTAGCATAATATTCACTCTTTTTTAAACCTGTTTTCAGCCTTCTGCCAGAAAGAACCCTCAGAGCGGCCCGACGCAGAACCGGCAGAGTCCAGGTCTGCGCCGGGCCTGAGACCACGAGCCGAAACGTTCAGACTTCGGCGTGTTTGTTTACACACGTGTAGGAAAATGTCCCGAGGTAACGGCGAGCTTCAAATCGTCCGGAGCGAGAATATTTTCCTTTTTCTCGACTCACATCCTCCTTTGTTCTCTAACCTCAGCTCCCGGTCCCGCGGGGGCCCGGGTCCAGACTCAGAACGTAAACACTCGGGGGTCTAAGCGTGTGTGTGTACAGTACATACAGTATATTGTGATCTCCACACACACACACACACACACACACACACACACACACAC